AACCAAATATCAACTTTGTAGAACTACTCCTGCGCCTCGGTTTCGTCAACTTTAAGTAGGTTTTCATATGTCGGTTTTTGGCCACAATCAATACTTCTGGTGTGGACCGTAAAAATCTGTCAAATTTCACGGTGGTCTTTCTGAATCTAGATGCCGTAATGTTGGTGTAAATTGTTTCGCAAACCGATGTTTGAGCTATGAAGCTGCTTCTTTCCAATTTTTTTTCATTTTTCTTCCAATTCACAAAAAATATTATTGAAAAGAAAGCTGTAGGCTGTATCCAAACGTAGAGCGGCATTCTACCTGCCCCTTAGGAACATTTTTAGTAAATGAAAGTGGAAGTCTCGCATAGCACTGCCACGCATACATTCTTTGGTAGGTTCACACTTGCGTATGGCAGTATTATATTCTATAAACACGGCGTGTTGCTGCCGCACACTTGTCGCGCTATATTTATTTATAATTTAATTGATGATAAAAAGCAGAAAACCGACAAAGTTTGTGGTTCTCCTATTAGATGAGTTTTCTATGAATCAGTGAGTTCATCCTAGTGAACTCTGATACAGTTTATATCCATTTATCAGTTTTCCGTCTTTCATTGCATTAAACTCATATAGATTTTCTCATTTACGATTCTTATTAATTTTCTGAACAACCAATAATTCTGATATAACATATAATCAGGATGTTCTTCCTGGGTCCGGATTCCATGATGTTTATGCTTTGTAACTTCTTAATAATGCACTGCTATCAGATAATGTGAAAAATGACAAATTTCGTTGTCGGTTGTCCTTCATTCCATGAAGGTTCATTTCTATTCTATTCGTTTCTATTGGTTCATGATTTATCATATTTTGGAATAAACATCTTGCAACTCCTGCTGAATCTAGAGGACTCTATTGGTTTCATATAAGTTTTCCGTAATCCACTTCTTTAAAAAAAATTTTAACTTTGCACGAATTTTTGACACAAACTGGACGGATTCAAAAAGTGCAATTCTTTTCACATTAGATGACACATTAGAAACTCAATTATTTCATTCATCAGATTTTGATAATAGGCAAAATTACTGCATTTAGGCAGAAGAAAAATGGCAAACATAACATTTGTCATCCTGGGTGGTGATTGCTTCAAGTTTGTGTAGATTCTATCTAGTGATTTGAATGTAGCTAATTTCTATTTATCATATTTAGGTAATACACAAATCGATGCGATTCCATCCAAGTAGTATTCCATAATTTAGATTTTAATAACAATCAATATTAATTACAAGCTTTTTGTTATTATTGTATCAGACCCACTTATATCTTATAAATGGTCTCAGCATCCAGCATTTCCAGGAATGGTTTTCACAGTTAGACAAACAGCAATCGATAAATTAATCTTCGACAAATCTTCGATAAATTAGCAATCAATGGTATTTTGAAAATGTGGTGTTTGTCTATTTGGTCCTACAGTGACTACACTTTTTTTGGGGTTAGATATTCCTCAAATTGATAAATCGCACAACACTGTAGAAGTTGGATTGATCCAACTTCTACTAAAGTGAAACTATAATCCAATCTGCCGCAAATATTCATAAGAAACAAAGGCAAGCCTGGTTGTTTTGATTGTGGCGAATGGCCTCATTGAAGTTGGTCAGGCGTAGATGTGGTAATAGACAGAGACTATTTTCGACACAGCTAACAAACTGTACAGGGTGTCCAAATTTCGATGGGTATTTGAATTATAAACACAACTCAAATACTGAACACTCAACTTCTAAAATACTTAACTCTTTATAACTCAAAAACCGTGATGACTAGAAAAATTCTACGTGCAACATTGTATTCTACGTGAAAAAATCTATTAGAACCCGTTTTTACGTTTCCGGATAGCCCAGACACAGGAGGTGTCTGAAAATCGTAAATTTTGAAACTCCCTGTATATTAAAAACGAAGAGGGCTATGAAAATTTGGTTTGCGCCATTGTAAGTTTCACAAAAAAAATAATAACATAATAACTGAGATACCCTGCAAACCCATCGACATTTGGACACCCTGTACAGATTTGTCTTGATAGTGAAATGTGAACCAAAACTTCATAATATTTCTGGATTTAAATTCCATAATGTTGGTGTAGGTTTTTTTATAATGTAATTTCTAACTTCTGATAAACCTTTTCTGGAAAGCATAATTTTCTGAATAACACAAATAAAACTTATTGTATAGGAGATATCCGACACAAACTTCATGAACCTTTTCTAAACATTAATTTCCTAAAATTTATAATAGTACCTTTACAAGTGCAGTTCTGTTGATACTTGATGCAGTTCATGTTCATTTGTCAGAATTGTACATAAGTAAAAATTTCTGTTAAGGAAGATTGAATCGTGGTTGGACCTTGATTCCATGATGTTGGTGTTGATTTTTTATTATGATTCTAGTGATTCTAAGCTCCATCAAACGTATGTAGTATTAACGTAATGTTTTCGCATCTTATGAAATTTGTTTCCTCTTAATAAATTTTGTTAATGAACAACATTCCTAACATTGAACATGAATTAATTCCTTCCATTCTTACTCTCTGGTGAAGCTCGTTTCCGTTTATCAGATTATGTGATGTTCAAAAAATACTTATTGGATAGGAGGAATTAAAACTTCATGAAAATTTCTCCAGAGCAACCGCTTCAAAATATTGAATGTGTTTTTGACATCAGATAAAACTTATTTCCAATGATTAGATTTTACAACAACCAAATTACTGTATTTGGTAGATGTATTCCATGAAATCACATCATATCAATTTATCTAACATTTGGATCAACAAAAATTATTGATGTTAGGCAGTGAAGATCTGACATAAACTTCTTTCAAGTCTTGTTTGAGCTGTAATCTTTGAGCTTTATACATACTTTCCATCAAGATTTTTGTAATGTGGTCTCTAACTTCTGATGAAGCTCATTTTCATTTGTCACATTTTGCGAAAACTTATGGAGCTTTTGTTTTGCGACGATTATCTAAGCTCGTAACAGCGCAATTTTTTTGACATCAGATAAAAGTCAGTTCCATTTATTATATTTTGATAATCAGCAAACTTACTGTGTTTGGATAGCAGGAAATGATAAATTTCATGGTTCTCCTCCTGGACCTTGATGCCAATAAATTTATTAAGGTTTATATACTGCCACTTTAATGACTTCTGATGTTGAGCTTCATCATTCAGTTTATCATATTTTGGTAATAATCAAAATTACTGACATTATACAGTAAAAATCTGATGGATGAGAATCTGATGAGCAGGCAATCTGAAACTTACCTGCTCTGATTAAGCAGAAGTGAAGTTCAAGATAGCTTTTTTTCTCCCAGACTATTCAATTAATGGATTACTTATTTCCATAAAATCCGTGTCTTTCTTGAAGGAACCTTGTTTTGTAATACAGTTATATTGATGGCTAAAGAAATTAATTTTCAATATTCAACAGTCTACATACTAGATATCAAATATCTATAAAATCCCATTTCTAGATTACATCCATTCGTTAAAATAAGATCAATAACATTCAAAAATCCATGTATTTATTTTACTAGACCCGCTATAAACCGGTTATTTAAAACACAAATTATACAAATGCAATTTTTTGTATTAATTTAACTTTTTTTATGTTATTTTTTAATAAAACAAATAATATATTTACATGTTTCCTCTCAGTTCCTGGTTGATTGCAGACCTGCACCAAGTGGTCTAACTGATAGAGGAGCTTCTTACTCGTGCTATGTACCTAACACAATAAACCAACACCACAAAAGAATTAAAATCGTGTGTGAGACAAAAATTTTTTAACGGTTAGTTGTTAATAAACAGATACATTAAGAACACGAGCGATTAAAAACAAAGTGTATGCGCTATAATAATAGTGGTAGTTCCCCAGCCATCTCAAAGTGGTGAGTAGAGAGAGGTTTTTATAAAAGAAATGGAAGTCTGCAGTGCCCCGAAATAGCTGAAAATTCTAATTTTGAACTAATCTCGTACATTCGTTATTGTTTTCCGGTCAGCCGCATCTTTCTGCGATGTCGTGGAATTATGGCACACTTGGAGCATCACGTCCAGACCGTTCAGCAGAGCTTGATAAGCGTTATATACCTTTAAATTGAATCATTGAATGGAATATAAAATTATTTAAGCATCTAGATGGAAATTGTAAAAAAGTGTAAAAAATTGGGGGTTATTTACCTCTGTATAGGCCTGGCACATTGATTCGTAAAGATTTTGATGTTGATGAATTGAGTTTTCAAGCATTAATATTTCTGTAGGTATATTGGTATTTTCACAAGCCCCATTCCAAGCACCGACGTTATCGACGTATTGTTCAGCCTTATGATGAAAGATAACGGAAAGAGCCAATACCGCTGTACGTTCATCCAATCCAGCAGCAAAATCCTTCCAAGATCGATCGAGTCGATTAGCAACCGATCTAATGTGAGTAGCAGCGTAATGCCCTCCTTCAATTAATCTTCCAGCCACCGAAAGAATTCTACTGATATTCACGTAAACATTCATTGAACTCATTGTAAAATGTTGATGTTCTTCTTGTAGTTGTTTAGCTAATTGGTAAGTGTGGCCGATTTCCACGTAATTTACTAGAAAAACCTCACGATTGTGACATATCCAATCAAACATTTTCTCACAGTCTTGTTCGAAGAGGCGGAGTTGAAAGCACTGGTCCAGTTTCAGTTTTTTATGGTGCCAGAGTTGAAGTAGGTGTTTTTGAGAGGAGTGGACCGCTTCGAGGTTTTGAATTACTAAGCTTTTAATATCATTATCCATACTACTACCACTTGGTGATTCTCCGTCTCTTCCACCGGTTCCTCCACCTCCTTGACCTGTATCGTTACCACAAACTTTTTGTAATAATCTCTGACCTAAATAAATAAAAAGAAAATGATTCAATTTTTAAATTAAATGAAGAAAGTAAATTGTTTTCACTTCAAATTAATTATAATTAGTATCTTAAATAACCCATCAATTTATTAATTAGCTTTTCCCAAATATTACTACCTATGGTTCAAAATCCCATTAAATGTTAGAAAGCAGTGAGACTAATTGACGAATTAATTCATGTGTAGTCATAAATATTCATAGCACACGAAGCGAGATCGCATAAACGGTTTTACTGGGAATTGTTAATATCTAATAATTGATTGGAAAGCTTACCTAGCAAATCGATGTCCTCTACTGGTGCTTTCATTATTTTCTTCTTCATCTCATTGTGTAAGTCGATTTTATGCTTGGCACCACTAACATCGTCCGCATAATCGCTCCTTGCTAAATCCTCCTGCAGATCGTCAAGCCTATCAAGTAGATCTGCAGCTTGCCAGGAAAACTCTTCTACCGCTACCCTACTTTCGAGCCAGTTTGCGTGGTCGTAACTTAGAGTACCCTCCAAGTCTGAGGTCAATTGAGAAGTATCTATAATTTTTGGCAAGGCCTCTAGACTAATCATATTTGTCTGCAATGCAACACAAAATTGGAAATAAATACATAAATCTAAAATAACTTTGTAATTGCAACCTCAAATTTGTACTTATGTGATCCCAATGACGTTCTCTGTTTCTGCCAAAAGTTATCGGGTTTTACTATGAGCGCTTGATGAACTACGCCCGGAGGAAAATGTTCGTGAAGGGCTTTTAGGATGGGTTTTACGGTGGACCATGTTGCTCCTCTCATATCCACGAGAACTGTAAATCCCAATTCTCGAGCTTCGCTACTAAAAAGAAAATACAAAAAAAAATAAGATTATGTATAATAAAATTTTTTTTAGAAATAAATCTTGAGTCATAAAAAAACAAAATGCATTTAAAGACCGGTTTGTGAATATGGTATATGTGCTACTTAAAATAATATCGGTCATGCAATGTTGGTAAACACTTTCTAAAGATAAAACAATGCGAAATTTGTTGTCACATTTCTATAGGTATATAAAAAAACGTATACAATAGAATTGTTTTAATTCTTTTAAAGTAACATGTCATCACTAAATAAATCACTAAATAAATCTGTAGAATTAACGTTGGGGTTCTAGAATTGAATTTAACCGCAGAGTACTTTAAACTCTGATAAGAAGTTTATTTCTTTTTTTTTGTGTTAATCTCGAAGCAGCTGGGTCAGGAGAAAACAGAAGCAAAGAAGTGGTTTGGAGTAGTTTTAAAAGTGCTACAAGTAAGGACGAAAACTTTGTTCACGAAAGACAAATACTTTCAGACCTGAGATTTTATCCACGTATCAAACACGGGGGGGTATTTCTCGCGAACAAGGCCACTTACTGAACTTTTAAACAAATCCACGCAGAGATTTACGGCGCAGATGTAGCGTGTTGCCGTTTCACGTATACCATAAATTATACGAAACACAAGAAATAATTTACATCTAAATTTCCTAAAGTTCGGGACCATAATTATTGTGATAACAAAAAAATTTAGGTTGACGAGATTAAAGATTATTTTCTTTTTTTGGGATAGTTAAAATAGTTGTGGCATAAATTTGCCAAAAAAAGAAAATAAAATGTTGAATTCAAGGTTTTCGTCAAAAAAAGTTGGTTTAAATTTTAACGAGAAAAAAAGGCGTGTATAAAGCTCTTTCCTGGTAAGTATTACTTTGTGAATGAATGTCAACTGGTATAATAAAGGAGATTTTACTGAGATTGGTAGGTTTCATACAGAGGCGGTTGTAAAATTTCATTTTGCACCGTAAAAAAGGACCATAAACTAGGTATTGTATCTCTGCGAAAAACGAAATATTTTTTTCATGATTACGATTTTTTAACGATCTTTTTATCTTAACCTCACACCTTAAATCTAATGTTTAAACTTTAATGTTTACGTAAAAATTAAAATCCTTTTATGTTTTTTATCGCTTTTTAAAAACATAATAAATCAATACTCAATTTATCTGAAATGCATCGTGAGTGACAAACTTTATTTTCTGAATCATTGAATTCATCTATTGTAATAACAATTTCTATCAAGAAAACAACAGTTTTTCCAAGAACTGATATGCTGCGTTACAAAACTATGTGTTAGAAACAGTTTATTTTTATACACACATATACTAAATGTGTAATCAACCTAAAACAATATCATAGAATTCTTTTTTACAAAAGCATTAAATAAACACAAACGTTTTATTGGACCATCTTTGATATAAAATTTAACTTGATGTCTCGGAATAGCACAAGAAACCGTTTTTAGCTCATTGTACGTCTACTTATAACATTATATTGTCATCACTTTAATGGTTCTTTTGATAACTATTGTAATATTGGAGGTTCGTTACGGAATCCTCATAGCAAAATGTGGAACTGAATTTTCATTCATCATTCTGCCCCACTTTCGCGTGCTGGGTGATTGAAACTAAACGACCCAAGCGTAATGAAAGACAAATTGGATTTTTTAAATTGATTTCTTTTTGTGTTTAACATTATTCTTTAGATCTTTTATGACAAATATGCAATTTCTTGATAAATGTGCACAAATACCTATTATGGAGGTAAAAGTAAATATAAGATAACAAAGCGTTTTCAAATCTATTTTCGATATATCAAATTCAATATTTACATTTACCGATTAATGTGCATATATCCCGAAATACGCATACTCATCATAACTTATTATCATATTGGTTACGAAGTAGTTATTTAACCCTTAACCCGAAACATAGGCCCAGCAGACAGTTTTAATTGTCATAGTGCAGTGTGATGTGAGTAGTAGACTCTAGAAACGAGCAAGTCTATGAAACCAGTTGTTTCAAATTACGGTAAGGAGGTCCTATAAAAAAATGTTTCTAGTTCCATATATATACTAAACAAAAGTAGCAACTATGGATAAACCAAGTTCTAGTAGACATGATACCCGAATAAATTTGAACGATCCAGATTTTGAAAATAAGGTACACGAAATGTTGGCTAACGGAACAAGTTTATATTCATCGAACGAAGAACCTGATGAAATAGCAGATGATTCGGACCAAGATCCTGATTATATTTTAGAGTATAGTAATGATTAAAGTCAGATGATGATTTCCTGGACATATCCGACGAAGTCATATATTGTCGCAAAAATGGTTTTCAGTGGATGTCGACTGAACCAATAAGAAACACTGAAACCAGATCGCATAATATCATTACTGGTTTACCAGGGCTAACTACAATTGGTAGAAATTTAGGAAATAATCCTTCTAAAGAAGAGATTTGGAATGCACTGATAGATAATGATATGATACGAATTCTACTGAAATCAAAGCGCTGCTTGGACTCCTTATGTTGTCATCAATTATGAAATCCTCACATGAGGACATATTATCCCTATTTTCCAAAGATTATTTGGGACGGCCCATTTTTAGAACGACAATGTCTTTTAAAAGGTTCGAAATTTTACTAACCAACCTCAGATTTGATAACAGCGTAACATCTCTGATATTTTTGACAAATTTGTTTCAAACAGCCAAAAACTATTTTCCGTAGAAAAATGCGTTAATATTGATGAAACGTACTTTATACCTTTTAGAGGTACTTGTCATTTTCGTATATGCATGCCTAGCAAGTCAGCTAAACATGGCATAAAAGTAATGTGCATGACCACACGCAATGCATATTTCTCCAATGGCTACATTTACGCAGGAAAAGATACTGATGGTGGGTGTAGGGCTCTCTGAAGAAGAGAGAAAACTATCTAAGCCTTCACAATGTGTGATTAGATTGTGTAAACTTATCGAAAGGTTAAACAGAAACCTAACTGTAGATAACTATTTTACGTCAATAGAAATAATCTGGCTTGACGCAATAGAGCAGTTCTATTAGTTTAAACTATGCACCATTCTAAAGATAATGAACTTGGAAAGCCAGAAATAATTAAATGTTACAACTATACCAGTCAAGAGTTGATGTTCTCGATATGAAATGCGCTAATTTTATATAATACATTAGCTGTATTTTACACCCTAGTAAACATCAGTACTAGGGTTTTTGGTTTTTAAACTGTTAGAACCTCATCTAAGGCAAACACTAACAACAAACCTTCCTGGGGAACTGCGGTCTAAATCTTTTGAGATTTGCTATTGCACATCAAGTCCACAATGATAAAAATACTGTTCCCGTTGGCAAGAAAAACGAATTAATGTTGCATCCGTTGTTCCAAGCCAATTTCCTTAGAATGTAGTCGAAAATTAATAATTATAATATGAGCAGTTATTACTATGAATGAAGTTGTATATTTGAATTTTCAATAATCAAGGTCTAGTAGACATGTTGTTTCTAATAAGGTTGATATTTCAATGTTTCGGGTTAAGGGTTAAACAAACTACTAAGCTTAATTTTTTCACTTTATAATAATCTCTGGTTATCATAGGTAATTACCGATACGTCAAATTCTCGATACTACAAAGACCTAATTTTGTTAGTGGAACAAATAATGAGGATTGAAAATGAAACAAAACTAAGGTTCAGAATAAATAAGGTTGCGCCAGGGTGATGTAATATCATGCGTGCTTTTCAACATAGTACTCGATAAGGTCATACGAGATACGGGCATCAACACGAGAGGCACAATTATCAACAAAATCGTGCAAAACTGGCTTTTGCTCGTGATGTCTCATGATATCATTGCAAGATCAAGAGGAAACATGATAGGAGCCTTCTGCTTACTAAAATAAGCAGACAAAAGTACAAAAGTGGGTTAAAATTAAACCTAAGTAAAAGAAAATATATGCACAAGATATCTGCAAAACTTGGACATAAGCATAACATCGAAACTGTATAGCAATATGTATTGGTCACTTCGGATAACAACATCGTCGAAGAGATTAAAAGAAGATTTCTTTTAGCAAATATAAGTTACTACTACAGTCTGATGACCTAATTAAGATCTATCACTTTGGCACGAAGGAAAGTCAAATACATAACACCTTAATACGACCGATTCTGGGGAATAGATCTGACACTGAGGTTATGTCTAAGAACGACGAAAGATTGCTAGTAACATTTGAAAGAAAGATCCGGCGACATGGTGTCGTCAAGGTGGGTTTCCCGTCTCTTAACGGAAGATCAGAAATCAAACCGTTTTACTGTGAATACGATATCGAACAAAGGGGGATGTTTTCTTAAGACACATTGTCACCTGTGATGAAACGTGGGTGCATCATTACACCACGGAGTCTAAGGCAAGCACGAAGGAGGCGAAAACCTGGAGAAGAAGCAACGCGGAAAGCCAAGACTCGTCTTTCTGCTAGAAAAGTTCTTGCAACGATTATTTAGGATTGCAGAGTTGATTTTCTCCATAACCGGTGTATAGTATATGCTGCGTACTGCTGCCAACTGTTTGATGAAGTGAATCTGACTCAAACAATGAAAAAGGCGAGACGTGCCTTTTCGGAGTACGATTCTGCTCCATCCAGAAAAATTGGACAATATTCATTTAAAAACATCGGAACATCCGTGCTACAGTTCCCATCTGTCGCTGTGTAACTACCACATGTTTGGGTCACTCAGAGACTCAGAGAAGAACTGTGAGGTCATCAGTTTGACGACGACGAAGGTGTTTAAACTTTGATGACGGAATTAAAAAACATCTGATTCGGGGGAAAAATGTGTAAATAAAAAGGACTGTGAACAAATGTTCTAAAACAAAAGTCCGGTTCATATTTGATTCCCCTACGAATATTCTGCGTATGGCAAACGTCGGTCGTCAAATTCATAGAAATCGGCCGCTTGCTTTGGATGGGTCATGTGGAGAGAATGAGGGAGGCAGAAACCCCCAAGAGAATTACTAAGCAGGCGGCGGTCGGAAAAGGCTTAGAAGCCGGCCCAAGACTAGATATAAGGACCAGGTGGATGAAGACATTAAATCCCTCAATGTCATCAACTATAAAAGCAAGATATGGGACAGAACGCAATGGTGGTGTCTCTTAGAATAGGCTAACACTCACAGTGGATGTCACTCGAATTTTCATTGCTTTTTCGTTAAACTTCGCCTTGATGCCTATGAAATATATGCGGAATAGAACAAAAGTCAGTAGAAAGTGAGCAGTTCAAAATTTGCGATAAGTCTATTTTGTATATTGTTGTTCAATGATTTTGATATTAATATATTATTAACTAAAACTATTCGTAGTTGGACGTGTTTTGAAGAGTTCTGAAAAGTATATCGTTTCTCTAAGATAGTTCTAATTGAAAAAGAATGAATTACTGTCCTAATGATGCGAGGGTACGGCGATAGAACAAGATTTTATAATGAGGTGGCAAAGTTGTTCAACGATGCATACCCAAAATGTTCTTCTATCTCTAAGGCGACGATGCAAACATGCTTACCTTTCGAGAAAACTGGAAGCGTAAATGATGGACATCAAAAAAAATGATCAAACACTGTTATGAATGACAACAAAACTTTAGGTGCAGCTTTCTTGGATCCACATGGATTCTTAAGTAGAACTGATATACAGTATTGGAAAAGAGTAGTGCAATTTTTAATTTTTATATAAAATTTTAAATTTATGTTTTTCGTCAGGATTTCACATTATTATGGCAATGTATTTTATGTAATAATTGTGTAACCGAAATTTGACAAAGATAGTTTTATTTTTATAGAAATTAAACAGAATTGCAAAAGTTGAGTTGGAAGAAAGTAAAACAACTTTATAATTTATAGGTAAATAACAGTTAAATTGAATAAAAAGCAAAGATTTTTTAGTACTCTTTATATATCCTCCTTATCCGCATCTCCTTTATTATTAATACCATCGTGATACCTTCGTGACAATGGGTACGTTCAGCAGGTGTTAACAGTTGAATTAAATCAGTCAGCTAGTTGTATGAGCTTTAATACAGCGGAACGAAATCGGCTGAACAAGCAATTGAGAATTAGCCGTTCTGCATAACCTAAAACTATGCCCAACAATAATATATTTGAAAATTTTGTGCTATTACAAGAGATAGTGGATGAGCGTTTCTGCATTAACAATATTCATTTTTATACAGTTTTGTCAGTTTTCAAAATTAAAGGGGCGAAACAAAAAATGTTAATCCTAGCTAGAATTTCACGACCGCTGACAAACTAAACGCAGATTACTTATGCTGAGATTATACTTAGCGTATCGTTCAGCCGCAACAGTTGACACCGGCTGAACGTGCCCATTGAGTGTATTAAATTGTTAATGGTTTTTTCGATATTTTAGACCATTCGATTTAAAGAGCAGCGAACAATTCGACATCATTTTTTTAAAAATTTATTTCGAAATTTATCGTCAACTATTTTCCATTGGTTTTCTATAGAATCTAAGTCTGGTGACTGTGACGGCCAAGTCATCAAATTTATTTTATTTTGTTCAAACCATTCCTTTACGACTTTAGATGTGCATTTCGGATCGCTGTCCTGTTGAAATTTATAAGAGATNTTTATCGTCAACTATTTTCCATTGGTTTTCTATAGAATCTAAGTCTGGTGACTGTGACGGCCAAGTCATCAAATTTATTTTATTTTGTTCAAACCATTCCTTTACGACTTTAGATGTGCATTTCGGATCGCTGTCCTGTTGAAATTTATAAGAGATAGGCAGATTTTCGCCGGCATAAGGTTCCATAACATTTCTTAATATATCACGGTACATATA